GAGTAGGGGAATGGCGTGGGATGACTGCCCAAGAAGTTGAGGTCCATGTTCTCGCCGAAGAGGTAGGCCTCGGGAGCGCACGTCTCGAACCTCTCGCCACCCATAATGAAGTGAGTGCTGAAGTATTGGCCACTTTTGGGGGGATAGCAGTAGGCGTTCCAACCCAACGCCTCCACCTCCTCCACCCCTCCATTCCCTCGACCCGACCACACGTTTCCCATACCACTCGACAGTCAAACAGTGATCACTCTTCAGCAACACCACTTCAATCACTCATTTCGTAATCACTGAACAAACCATTTAAATGTCTTCAACAAACACTTTGTTTACAATCCATTCGTCACTCATATCACGATTTCACTGTATTGTAGGTCACAGTATCCGTCAATGCATTGCCATATGCGTCGAACGCACATACAGTCAAAGGGTCCAAATACTTGTGGTAAGCGTACTGCAAGAGGATAGTGCACTAGTGTCTAAATAGTTATTTCGCTGCTTAACAAACGTAAGTTACTTGATTTGAGAGGGAGTCGAGGTGCAACACGATGTTAAATGTTCACATATACAGTGACTCATGGATTGCGTGGGGTTTCCATTACCTCAGCACACGGCGTGGCGAATGAATTGGCAGTGAGAGTTGGGGTGTGAAGCGACCTCACGTTATATGTGTGCGGCTCAGAGTGGCTGCAAGAGTGGACGAGTATTGCATTGAACGCCGGTTTCATAGCATTGACTCATTGTTTGCTGTATTCATCGAGTGATCCAAACATATTGACCGCCAATACAGTGGTGAACAGCACGAGTGACACGGATTGCCATTTCCACACCAATTACACCACAAGACACACATCACCCACACATCGACCTCCACCTCAGCACAGGTAGGCATGCCTTCACATCTGTTGGACTCACTGCGAACTCAACGAATGTCTGCTTATTTTAGGGTGTTTAGTGACCAAAATCATTAACGATATGTTAATCTAGCGTTTGTTAGTATAGTAACTTTACCACAACCTAAACCTAGACAAAGCGCTTCTGTTTCCGCCTCTAGGTCTCTCCCAAGCGAGATTAGTTCGGAACCGTTACGCAGACACTCAGAGTGTGGATCAAGTGATTGATTTGGACAACAATTGGCGCAAAACTCGCCATAATTTGGATCAATTGAATAAAGCGAAGAACCAGATCTCGAAAGAGTACGGAAATCGTATGAAATTATTGAGAAATACAAGCAAAGAGTCGCCCGAAGAACAGACATCCACTCAGACCACAGCCAAAGATGTGTTTGATTTGAATGAATTGCTGACAAAAGTGAATGAAATCAGTGGTGACCAGCCGTTAGACCACTTGAAGCACTTGAGACAACAGGTCGAGCAACAGATCATCCAATTGACGGACAGTTTGAACCAATTGGAGGACAAGAGGAACAGCATTCTGAAGGAAATCGGAAATTTGTTGCATCCGGACGTCCCTATCAGTGCTGATGAGGACGAGAATGCAGTGATCAGGACATGGGGTCAGTTCACCCAATCGGACGGTCAGCACAAACTCCACTCTCACGTGGACTTAATCCAAATGATTGGTGGTGTGGACACTGAACACGGCTCAGACATCGCCGGTTCCCGCGGCTTCTTCCTGACCGGTGCGGCCATTTGGTTACAACAGGCGCTCATCCAATACTCCCTCCGATTCCTGTCGGACGCAGACTTTGAACCAATTTATACCCCGTTTTGGATGCGGAAGAGTCTAATGAGTTCTGTCGCACAGTTGAGTCAATTCGATGACGAACTCTACAAAATCATATCCAATAAAGACAGTGAGGACTCGGAGGACAAGTATCTGATCGCCACATCTGAACAACCAATCGCTGCATTGCATCGCAACGAATGGCTCAATCCGGCCACTCTTCCCATTAAATACGCCGGTCTATCGACGTGTTTCCGACAAGAGGTGGGCGCCCACGGGAGGGACACCCGCGGCATCTTTCGGGTGCATCAGTTCGAGAAGATCGAGCAGTTTGTGGTGAGCCCTCCCGCCAAGTCGTGGGACTATTTCCACGAAATGATCGCAAACGCAGAAAAGTTTTACCAGTCGTTAGGCATTCCCTACCAAATCGTGTCTATAGTGTCCGGTGCTCTGAACAACGCCGCGGCCATGAAGTACGACTTGGAGGCCTGGTTTCCGGGCTCTCAGGCCTTCCGCGAGTTGGTCTCTGTGTCCAACTGTACTGACTATCAGTCGCGAAACCTGCAGATCAGGTTCGGTCAGACCAAGAAGATGACCGGACAGGTAGAGTACGTGCATATGCTTAACGGCACCCTCTGTGCGGTCACACGAGCCATATGTGTCATCCTCGAGGTCTACCAAACACCGGATGGCATTCGAGTTCCCGAACCATTGCAACCATTTATGCCACAAAAGTTTAGACAATTAATCCCTTTTACGAATCCATTGCCCTCTAAATAACTTTTATTCAATTTTCTTGTATTTGATATAAACTTTGAAATTGAATTTTTTAAAGCATTGCTTTGAATGATTTGAAAAATAATGAAATGTTTTACAACTTTAATCGAATTGCTATTTAAGAAGAAATTGTTTTAATTTACTGTAATTTAAAATTTAATAAACGATTAAAACTATTGTCTTAATCATTGTTCTGTTTAGTGTTGACATTCTTTATTATTACCGGTATTACCGTAGATGTAAGGTATGATTATTATTATTACGGTTCACATTTTATTCATCATAACATTACTACAGTATAACATACAGTATATGATTGAACATTTCCCAAATAAGTACTTTTGAAAGGACATGAATTTGATTGATTCAAAGAACTTACAGTAAATAAGTTACTGAAATCAGTGAGGAGAACTGAGTTCTTAACTAAAGTCTTCTCAACTGTAGTCTGAGACCATCATCTCATCCATTAGGTCACCGGAAGTACTGTTCATCTCTGGTGCCACTATTCATCTAAGTTTAAACAGTGTTCACTAGTCATATAATAGTATACGGTATTCAAAGTTTACATTATTTTCAGAATGTATTTCCCTGGCATGTGTTTATGACAGGATATCGTACAGATACTCTATGTCCTACAGTGTATGTGATTGGTCACAATAAATACCAGTTCAAATATCCTCTTAACACGGCTTAATAAAATTTAATTGAAGTATAGTATCCTCTTAAGTAAAAGTAAAGAATATATAAAGTATTTATATTAAAATCAATTTTTGTCTTTCTTAATAATCTATGATTTATTTAAATAATTTGCATCAAATTAAAATGTAATTCAAATCTATTTGTGATTAAAACCATAATTGACATAACTTCCATAATTAAGAAAGAAAATTCTATACAATTCTACTGTATACCGACCCTGCACTTTTAAGCATATTATAACTTATATAAACTTGTCTGTTACTTTAGAATCTAAAGTACAATTTAGATAATTATTTGTTATTAACTACAGTTAAGCGTACTCACCCTCTTAATTATTTTATTTTATTATTTTCAGAATTGAATCTACCGGACAAACAATAAGCAACTAAAATACTAATTTAATAAAATAAAAATATTTCTTTTATATAATAAAAATAGTTACTATTAATATACCGTACTTATGGTCCAGTAAACAATATTATGAATAATACGCTAATTATAAGACCCGGTATACTGTATGTGAAAATTCTAGCAATAGAAGTCTATTGTGATAATAAAATAAGATAATTGAAGTGAAATTTATAGCACTTTGTGGGGATTGTGATCACTGACCACATCTTGTTTAAGGACCGAAACATTAGAGAAATGTTAAAGAATTACTGACTCAGATTCGCACAAAATTATAACTGTGTTTATCACAGTAACAAAAGGAAGGTTATTATTATTATGGGCACAAAATTGAAATAAAGTGTGTTGATAGTTTCACAGTCGTTAAATTATGCAATAACTCAAAACCTATAATTATTTTGACACAATTTAAATTAAGTTAACATTATTTTTTTATTCACTTAAACTGCAATTTAATTTTTCAATTTAATTGTGTTTGGGGTTATTGCTAATATAATGTGAACCCTCAAAATTTCATGCCATAGTGCTATCGTATGATTAACAAATAATATAGTAAATTGAACCTGACCAAAGTTTCATTGTGCATAATTTGAATGTGGTATTAAACATTTTGGTAACACATAAATTAATATTTTGAGCAAACGCTAAGCTCATATTAAGGATATCCGTTACCATACTATGAGAATTGAATACAAAAGATATGGCTAGTTATTTGTTAGTACAATATTTAAATTGTATAGGATTTGAAATTTTAATTACAAAAATATCGGAACTTATACTGTAATTACTAATTAGATTTACTTAATCTAAAATCTAGTTTGAAAGTGGTCCAATTTATTTATAAAATTTAAAGTAGATTATATAAGACAATCTAGTTATTCTAATATCGTAAGTAACTCAGTTAATATTAGATATAATTAGAAAATATAACTTATTTATAGAACCATCAAAATAACTAATTAAACTGGGCTTAACACTAACCTGTCCAATACTATCAATGAATCAATATCAATATTATCATCTATATTTTATTGCTTGAGAATCACTATTAAAGCCATTAATTTGACCAAGACCTAATTGTGTTCTCCGACTCTTATTTTTAATTTTTCTCTAAGAAACAGTAATTATGAAGTGACCATTTTAATATTATATTTAAATTACTTAACACTGTTTAGACACACATTTTGTAAGAATTTAATAAAACAAAAATATTATCTTAATATTCTGAAATCATTTTTTTTATAATAGAATATTCTCTGAAGATTGATTCTAGATTAAAATACTAACTATTGTTAACAAAATTTACATTCTTATATTAGATAATTAATTTTAATAATACTGTATAATCTATTACCGGTAATAACTTATACTGTAATTACTAATTAGATTTACTTAATCTAAAATCTAGTTTGAAAGTGGTCCAATTTATTTATAAAATTTAAAGTAGATTATATAAGACAATCTAGTTATTCTAATATCGTAAGTAACTCCGTTAATATTAGATATAATTAGAAAATAGAACTTATTTATAGAACCATCAAAATAATTAATTAAACTGGGCTTAACACTAACCTGTCCAATACTATCAATGAATCAATATTTAATATTATCATCTATATTTTATTGCTTGAGAATCACTATTAAAGCCATTAATTTGACCAAGACCAAATTGTGTTCTCTGACTCTTATTTGTAATTTTTCTCTAAGAAACAGTAATTATGAAGTGACCATTTTAATATTATATTTAAATTACCTTGATATTCTGAAATCATTTTTTATAATAGAATATTCTCTGAAGATTGATTCTAGATTAAAATACTAACTATTGTTAACAAAATTTACATTCTTATATTAGATAATTAATTTTAATAATACTGTATAATCTATTACCGGTAATATTTTAAAATTAAGTATATAATTTTATCATTAAAAACTTAGTTGTTTTAAAATTATTTGAACCGTAATATCAATGTTATGAAAATTCTTATAAAAAGTTAATGTACATTATATATTGTATAGTCTATACATATTACTTGTATATACACTTTACACAATAATGCAATTTTTGAATTGTTTGTTTTTCCAACGCTTAACGCTATTTAAAAAGTGTTTAGCAATTAAACAGACCTTAAAACAAAACGTGAGCCTAAAGATAAATATAAAATATTATAATACTTATAATGGGTAATGATATTCATGTTTATATTAATGTTACAATTTAATATAATTTATTGAATTTATTTAAAAACAGTAGTTTAAAGGATATAACTCAGTATGTTAAATAGTTTATTTATTATTTTTCTAATATTTATACCTGAAAATTGGGCATTTATTGGTTAGCATTAATTTGTTAGTATAAATTCAAGACAATTTGGACCGATTTTGCATGAATTTTGCCAGACATTAGTTTTAAGAGACTTCATTTAATGAGACTTTTAAGTCTGACTTTTATAGAATGTGTTCTCAAATATTATCTCTAAATCTCGGATTTGTAATACCATTAGATGACCGGTTTGACCACTTGTGGCCAAATATGTTACAAAACAACTCCATTAGAAAATGCATTAAAACTTTCTAATCATTTTTATAGTATTCAAGAGTTTTTAGCAAAATTCCTCGTTTTCAATAATATATCACTTCTACTGAACTATTTTGACATTCATTTATTTTTCAAATTCTCAATAAAACTCATACTATTCTCCAATTCTCTAAACAAATGATTATTATTTTTAATCTAAAGTTGAGCTCTAGCTTATATTTTTCAATTTATTTATCCAAACAAATATCAAAATAGTTAAAAACTTTCAAACCCACTGAATCAATAATGTTAGAAAGCTGAAGCCTTAAGATTTTATAACTTTTATTTAGCACATTACTAGCAATTATTACAACTTAGCAATTATTAGGACATTACAGTATGTCTAAGATTTACACCATTTTCAATCCATTGTGAGGTTCACATTATTGTATGAATTAAAACACTTTAATTTTCATTAATAATGCAATTAAAATGTATTTCTTGGTTTGTGTTCAAATTATATATAATTTAGCCGTTTTTATATTTTTATGATCACAAGTGTTTCGAAAAGAGAGAAACACTGTACACATCATACAATATAAGTGCTTATAATATAAATCATTTAAAGGAATAAATCATTAAAACTTATGTTCCCAACAAAGTCAGATAATTTCTGCACATTTTATTGTTTGCAATAAAATATTCACTAATTATTATAGTTTTTGTTTGTCTCTAATTTTGTCATTTTCTCGTCCATTTGAAGCATAAATATTGCTTTTGTTAGCAAACTACTGTATTCAAGCAATATGTCAACTGATCAGGGATCAATTTATAGTACCGTATAATTTATACAGGTATTTAAATTACATTGAATTTATTATTTATTATAAAATTTTAAACAAATAAAACCTCGGATGTTTTCAAGCATGGAATACACTATAAAATGAGTTTAAATGTCTGTCAAACGTATGGTCTGCTGTCAGCAATATTGCATGTCCCTGAGCATTGGTTCAAAGCATGTAATAGCGAAATAGAGGCGCCCATATGCTGTGTCCTTAACAAACGAAGATTGCATTACGATTACCATTACCATTACCATCATCATTACCATTACTTATTACCTTGGTAACCTACACGTCCACTTGAACACAACAATCACAAATACATGACAAGAATATACAGAAGAGTTAAAGAAGTGTTCGCTTATTGTTAATAATTGATAAGAAACTGTTAGTTACCATAAGTCTAATCATATATGAATATACACTGTAATCATATACTGTAAGCATAATAAATATACTTATGTAGAGAATATTGCAAATTGCAGTCATTTGTCTATTTCCGTATTACCGTTAACCCAAATTGATAACCAGTCTAT